TGAAGATAAGCGACTCTTTGAATCATTTTCTCTTTCCATTTCTAATTTTATGTTTTCCTCTTTTTGAATAAAAAGTTCAAAATAGTAGATCTTTGTGTCACATGCAAATGGGTAATTGGGTACGTATTAGGTTGGAATCTGTCCCATAGATTAAGGTGAAATGGCAAAATGCATGCGTCCACCTTCCACTTCCATGTCAGCTACCAACAAATTAAATGAATGGAAGCTAACAAACAGAATTTCAATTAAGTGTATTTTGTTTAAACAATAATAAACCTAGCTAGACTCTCTTAGAAACCCTAATTTTATCTTATTTAACAATATTTAAGTAGTAAAACATGCATGCAAGGAAGGGATCAGATACGAAGTGTACGTTAACATAACAGGTGTAGTTATTTATTTATATTTGTTGTGTGGGACACATGGATTGGACAACACAAGAGATGCTGCAGAACTTTAACCTAAACATTAAATAATGTAATTCTTTTAGACTATTGCAGAGTACTATATTCAGATTTAAATAACTATGCATGTACTTGTTTGGATCTTCAATAATTACAACAAGGACTTCATTCAAAAACTTGTTGGGTCACATTATTCATTGTTCAGTTTCAACTTTCAAGCAAAGAGAGAGAGAGAAATTTTGAGTATTAGTAGAAACATTTGTGTTTCTTGTTGAACAACTGGATATCAGAAGAAACACTCGTGTTCCTTACGATTTGACAAGTCATGTAAATTCCTCTTTTGAGTTTCATCCACTGAAGCAGCCAAAAGATTCAAAGGAAGAAAGTACAAATACAAGAAAACTTCTAACAGGACTTACTTGCATGCCTTTGAATGGTTCCTTCGACTTTCTCTGGAGCAAAAGCGATTTTCTTTTAGGGTTCAAAGCAGAAGTTAAATCATTTGCATAGATTGAATTATCAAAAACTTTGGCAAGAGCCAAGAGGAGGTGGGAACATTGTTAGGATTGTTAAAGCTTTGATTTTGAATGTACCTACCTACATATAGCATAAAAGTGGGGTAAATTCTGGGCAAACCCCAAACCAGTGGACCCTACATGTAGGGAACATCTTCTTATTTTATTTTATTTTTTTCATTTTCTTTGTTTTATTGCAATCAGGGACACAACAGATGAGAAGTGCCCAACTGGTCTCTGTGGACATTGTAAATTTCAGCTTTTTTGCTATTATCTCTCTAATACTTTATGATGTTTCTTAAATTCAGGGATGCTGAATTGCTGATGATGATGGAACAAATTTTTAAGGGAAGGATAGTCCCAAGCCAAGGGCCAAGATCAAAATTAGTGAAATACAAGTGGGGAGACAAGTTACAATTTAATTTTTGGTCTAGAGAATCTTTTAGACCTACTCAAGTTTGTGAGACGTTTGGATTGATTTGGAATATGTGCTCTACTTCTACTTGTAAAGGCATCAAAAGGGTTCAAAAATGCTGATCTGAAGTGGACCCATTTGCAATCGGATTGGCACATTACATTTACAGCCCCAAGTATTTTTCCTATTTTCTTTTTGGTGTATAACGTGGCTTTAGTCCCCACAGGAGCGGGGGGGCTATATATATATATATAGAATATATGCTAGACCCAGTTAGTAGGGTTAGTGATAGAGGGGATGCACGAGCGTGTGGGCCTATTGGAATTCATGTGAAGAGTGGGTTATTAACCAAGGCCTCCTAACCAATTGAACTACTGGATCACGGGCTACCCAAATCATTAATACATTGAGTTTAAGCTACTCAAATGTCATAAGACGAATGACAAAGGATTGGTCAGGTCGAATGAGGCCAAGCCGGCCAGTAGTATCCTTAGAAACAAACATCAGTTGTAGATCAGTCTGAACGCGTAACTTGAAGTAATACACTTACCATTCTGTAATTGATTTATTGTAGTCTGCTTTTTCTTTTTGGTTTGTTGTTAGTTTTCAAATCATATAAGAAGAAAATAAATGAATTTAAGAAGAGAGAGAGAGAGAGAGAGAGAGAGAGAGTACACACAGTGAGGACGTGAGACTGAAGTCTGAGAGAAGATTAACCTTAAAAGCCAGTGACAGAGAGATGGGAAGAGGCTTTTTGTGGGCTGAGGGGTTGGGGGGGTCAACTACTGGCTACTGCCCAACCCCTCTGGGCCTCTGCTAACAAAATTATGACGGTGGGAAGGGGTGGGCCCTTACCCCCGACAAGCGTGGGGTTGTCTTGTCAAATCACGCTCTTTTAAGTGGCCTCCTCCTTATCACACACCGTCTGGGTTTTCCCTTCAATCTGCTCCCACAAATTTACTTAAATATCCTCCCTCTTGCATGGCTTCTCTCTCTCTCTCTCTCTAGTTGTTTATATTTTATTATTTGGGATTTGATTAATGATCTTTGATTAATAGATTATTAGACAAATAATGACTTTAGGATTCTGTTTGTGTTTGCTAATCTTATTTTATTATCTCATATTCTTATATGTGATTTAGTTGGTCTTCTTTGCTAATTAGTAGCTAAGTAGACAAATAATCACTTTGTTAGAACAAAACACTTGGACCTGAGAGAAATGATTTAGTTTTTGACTATGATACCATGAACAATATGGGGAGTCTACATCACTCAACCATCATCATTAATCTTTGATTATTGTGGAAATTGTGACATCCCCACTTGAGATGTAAACCTTCCCCAAACCTTTTTTTGGAAGATAATGGTACAAGTTGGATCCAGCTTCCATCATCACCCTTCATTTGTGATCAAATGGTGATAGCTTTTTGGATGAACATCACGTGGGTTGAGATATTAATAGTAGAAGACAGTGATCAAATGGCTGTCATGGATACTGTTCTTCAATTGGGTGATGAATTATGCGAAAGTGAGAGGTCTCAGGGACCTCTCTAATAACAGATGTTGGTGGGTCATTGGTTCAAAATTTTGGATCTTTGTTCATACTACATGAGATCTTCTGCATGTGAATGATTAAAAAAGGAATATAGCTTCAGTCTATTAATTTGATCATATCTATGTAGTTGAAGTTTCTAATACAATCCAGGATTTGTATTCAAACTGAGAGAAAAAAAAAAATTAATAATATATGTTAATGCCATAGCCTTGACAGTCAGTACATGAATCATGCATATAAAAGAGAAATCTATAGATGAATTACTCAATTACCTTCCATGGAATTTCTTCTCTCAAACACATCACCTAAATTGAAAGTTAGTAGAATAAATATATGTGCAACGTGTACGTGGGAGCGATTTCAAATCATCATCAATAATTGCTGTGTACAACAGATTCTTTTTCTTTTTTTTTAATGAAAAAACAGATTCTTTTTTCTTTCTTCTGGCAAGTAAACTCCTTCTCAAATGCATAAAAACGAGTAGTTCTAAAATTCTACTAACCCAACAAACTTTCGAGGAAAAATGCATTTTTTGTGTAGGGCCCATATGTTGACGACCCGATTTAAAAAATCTCCAAAACAAAATTGAAAATGTAGTTAAATAAATAAAAGGAAACATTTGAGAAAATATTGAACATTTTGAGAGGTCATTATTATACTAATTTGTTTTTTCCACTCTCTCTCTCTCTCATTCTTTTTGTTAAGTCATTAATTTTGGGCACACGCCCTGCCTTGATAAACAAATTATAGCCCTCGTTAAGTAGACAAAGGAAAAGTGCTAAGCCAGTCCTGAAGAAGCCATTCAAACAAGAATCCAGTTGCTTCTATCTCATACTCGATCTCGATAACGTTTTGGTTGGCTTGGATTCTAAGGACAACCCTAAAGCTATGGTCCTCGGGATTGGGCATGGCATCACACTTATATCCATTGGTGTGGTTGGGGGTTGCCCAAATTATTCTCCTTTTTTTCCTAATTAATAAATAAATGGTTTAAATGTCAAGAGAATGTGGAGAACTCCTTCATTTAAGAAACTTCACAGGATCTTGATACCAACAAAGAGGGTCCATACAGAAATTCAAGGATGTTATTATCTGATCAAACTCTTAGTCTTCTCAGTGTATCACTATCCTTTCATACTTTGTTCAGTGTAAATAGCACATGGGTCTCAAGAACCAAGAACTTCCACATTGATGTTCATTCATCAGAGGGATTAAAATTAAAGTGTAATAAGCATTACATGGCCTAAATGAAGCCAAATGAACCTAAATTTGTCCAACTGGGCAAAGTCCATTCTTCCAGAAGTATGTGGTCACAGGAATTTTGTATTTGGCTGGAAGTTCAATTTTGATGTTAGGACATGGGATCTCTACTGTGATGACTGATGAATCCCCATCACAGCACGGAGGCATCAAGGGGGAGAGAAGGGGGCCCATGCCTTGATGGGGCTCTTCTTGTAGGCCTTGCTAGTCTTGGGCAACAAGGGATTGTTCTTCCACCATCAATGGCTCCCTTGTCATTCAATTTGTGAATGGCTCATGAATAAAGCGCCATTATTGGTACGGCCAGGGTAAGTGTTTCCAATGAACTCAACAAGTATTAGCTGCCTATGGGCAACCCCAGGATAAATTATACGTGCAACTGCATTTAGAATCCAAACAAGCTGCATTTATTCCTGCAGCTTTTGGTACATCTAGCTGTAAATATCCTTATATTCCTCTTGATCTTTGGAAGTTTGTTAAAGTGGGTTGCTAGTCATCAATGTTGTTCTATCAGATGATCTGTCCTTGACAGCTCTTGGTTACCTACTTCTCACTCACACCTCTCATCACACAGACACGCGCAAGCGGCAGCGCATGCATGCACAAGGAATTAAAAGGCAGGCCGCAGGCGGTCCATCCATCAAAGACAAGACCCATTTCATTTACAACCTTAAAACTTGTCCAACAAAGTCTATCCAGGACCTGGCCTGTCGGCTTTCTTATAGGCCCAAGTGCCCAACCCTGGAAGCAATCCATCCAACACCAAGTTGTAATGCTTTGTGGAAATGTTTACTTGAAGTGCAGGATTACAACTCTAATTAACCATTCACCAGATCTCCAATTATCATCTCTAGGGAACAAAAGATTTCTACAGATTTCATTCCTTTGAACATGTTGTAACAAACTAGTTCTAAGGTTGTTAACAAACTGGGCTGCCCATATATGTGGATAGCATGGTTACACAGAATAAGAGACAGAGTATTGTCTAGAAGCCTTAATTGCAGTTTTTAGGGCCAAAACCACCAACAAAGACCCTACCCAGAAAAGGCCCATATGGAATCCTTCTCAGAATGGTTGGTCGAAGACATGTTACCTAACCAATAAAGTATAAACTGGTGGTTCCTTTTGATCTGATTGTATGTGTCGAGTCTGGATGCACACCGTATAATAGACAAAAAGCAGTACTCTGCCAAGTTTGGCTGGAATCTAATGGGTGCATCTAGCATCGTATTCGTGGCCAGTATTGTCTCTTTGATTGACAAGGCCTTCTGCCATGGTTTCTTGATATAACTACAACCTTAGTAATGTTGCATACTTGCAAGTGCCAGAGTATTGTACCTGAGCTGAGATAGGGCATTTCTTCTTAAGACCAGGCACCATCTACTCAGATTCAGGTCTACTTACGCCCATTTAAGTAAATATCCAGAACATGGTGAGAGTGTCCAGACATTAGGGGCCTCCCACTTGCTACCTTTCGACTGTCTAAGACCAGAGTACTAGAGGGTGTTTGACATCTTGGTGTTTTCTGCTGTTGGATTGAAATAAGTAGCCGCATCAGCATTTTTACATAAACAAGCAGATATTGTATTTGTTCATGGCTTCATGCTACTGTATAAATGGACGTCAATGCAACGGCATACTCTAATACTTGACGTATCTACAATCAGGCAAGCGATGCTACAATGCCTCTATGATGTGACTACTAGAAAATGGAAAAGCAAATTACTTTTCTAAGTTGTCACATTCTGAGTCTCTGACTGCAACCATGTTTTCAATAAAAGAAAAATTAACACCTTGATGTCTTGAACACCTAATCAGCATATATTAGAGTATTGCTGATCAATGGAAAAACATTGAATTATTAAATTATCAGGAGTGTAGAGCATTGCTGATCATAAAAAGGTCATTACCAAATGTGGGTCCTAGTTATCTAGGGTCCTTGAGAGAGATGAACTAACTTGATGGTTATTCTCATGGTGAAATTATCCAAGTAGGCCCAATTGATTGCTCGAATGTGTTAGTGTGTTCTACAATCAGACAGGAAGTATGGATCCATCTATATGATGCTTTCCTGCAGTTTTGTCAGACTCAATCTGGAAATAAACCAATTTTGGTCATTAGGAATCAAACAGTTCGAATGTCGAGCTCATCTGCTTAACTCAAATAGGAGGTGTAAAATATAAAATAATAATAATAAATAGTTCCAGATTATCTTCTGAAGTTTGATATCAAAATAAGCTTATAACAATATATATTTTAGGATATAGCACCTACTTATACATGTATTTGGGGCAACCTTGACTAAGAACTAGGCATCCCAGAACTGTTTTGGCTACTGACCCCTCGCCTCGGCACTCCATCCATCTGGCCGAATCCAGAGATTTGAAAATAGTGCTTCCCCCGCAATTGACACTTGTCATTGTTGTTATTTCTATTAAAGAACTTAAACATCTTTGGAAACGACCATGATTTCGCCAACCTGGGTTACCTCATTGATTAGCAGACGAGGTACTACTAGTTTATTGTTGTTCAATGCTGGGAAAGTAAGATGATCTCCCCTTGTTATCAAATGCCTCGTTAATCAATTCCAATCATTCCTTGTGTTATCACCTAATGGATTCACCAATAACAATGTTTAGGTAATAGCAGCATGATCTCTTCCCCAGTTCTTGACAATTATAAAAATAAACAATTGCACACAAGTATGTGTGTGCTCAACATAATTAATAATAGTTTTCAATTCAAGAATAAACCCTATGTTGATAAAGTTGATAAAATAACTTACCAAGTATGTGCAACAGATCATGCTTTGAGCTTAGATTAAGAATATCTTTGACATATAGAGCCATAATTTATAGACATGGACTGGGTTTGCGCAGAACCAATCAGGACCTCATTAGGTCCAACTTGACCTGGGCTATTCTCCATAGTGGGCCAAGGTCAGCAAATTTAGCATAATTTTGTTACACAAAGCATGAGTGGTGACATTCCACAATGACTCTAAGCAACTGCCACAGAGCCTCCAAATGACAACTTCAAACTCTGCATGATCCTCTAAGTTATAACCATATTGCATCCTGTGATGGTTGTATTATCAATCACTTCATGCTTGTCTTCAGTGTAAAAATAAAACACGATGCAACCCTTGAATGCATTTCTAAATATGCCTCTTTTATTAATACAAAAATATCAGTAGCAAGTATTTAGGTAGAATATAAAAGAAAGGTACATCTCTTACTACCACCCAGTGTCAGTACACACTAGCTGGTACCCCAGACAACTCATCCCCAAATACATAGGTTCTCTTCGCCCTCCTTAGCCAAATGTTTGCAATAAAATTGGAAGGCCTAAGCATCCAACTGAGAAATCTGTTTATTTCAATCCCAAAGGTCATGCTTCCCTCAAACAGTGTCTCAGCTAAGACAATTAATCCAAGAATTCATCCGATCAATTACCACCTGATACTCACATTTGACATTGATCTTCCCCAAGACCCAAGCAATGACCAATTCTAAGGCCTCTCTCTCTCTCTCTCTCTTTATCAGACTTGCATTCTAGCAGATGGAGATTCCATTTTTTCTAGAAATCTCAGAAACCTTAATCTACAGTGATGGCATCTTAGAGGTCAGCAAATTCGGATCTCGCATGTCAATCCTCTATATATTTGTTATCCATTCTGAAGCCTCAGGTTGCCCGGGCAAGAGCTTTGGAAGCAGGCCTATGGACATAGATGAGTTTCACAAGAACAAGTATGATCATAATTTGGTAGCTAAGATGATTCTCTAGCCTCAAGAAATGGCAGTAGCACTGATGTCACTGATGTTCGAGCCAATGGTGTTGGGATATCCTCTATGCTGCCAAAGAGTGTCAGCAGAAACAAATCAGTCAATGAAGTGTTGGAGGAGATCGCTCCTAGTGGTAGTTATCTGAAAATCAGAACTGTCAAAGGACAGTGTTTTAAGGACTCTGGAATTAAGCACATGACTGGAGGATTATCTTGCAAAGGTAGAAGCTGTTACAGGGGTGGGACCTTCCGCAAAAGATCAGCAGCAGGCAGAGGGATCAATTCCATTTTCAGGAATGGAGTGAAGGGAGGAGCAGCAGTAGGAATGGGAGGAGGAAGTGGAAAGTGGTGGAAGAATTGAGAGAAAACAAGAGGAAGTGGAAAGTAGTGGAAGAGAATTGACAGAAAACAAGAGGAAGTGGAAAATAGTGGAAGAGAATTGACAGAAAAATAAAGGAAGATAATTAAGTTAAGAACAAAATGAATTGGCCGAGAGATTGGAAACAGGTTTACACAATTGAGCTAGAATATTTAGTAAAACAACTAGAGGAAGATAAGACACGATTTGTGAAAGAGCTGGCAGAACAAAGAATAGGTTTCACGACTCAGAAATCTTATCTTAGAACTGGAGAAGTGCAGTTTTCCTCATATTCTTTGGAGAGTTTGCTCTTTGCATTAGTATGGTTATTTAGTGACCCAAGAAGAATAAGGCAGAAAGAAAATTTTCTTTTGAATGATGATAAAGATATAGAAGGTTTAGTGCCAGTTTGACTAGGCATTATCTTTCTTAGGAAGTCCATCTCAAAATCATGTATTTCTTCAACTGGTACTGTTTTGAGGCAGTATCCATTCATGCATAAAGAGTAACTAAAAGTTTGTGACTAGAATTTCAAGAGAAATTCTAGGAATCTGAATGTGGAAGGTACATCTTCATCTATACAAACAAAATAAATAAACAAAAAAAAAAAAAATCATCTATCCCCTAGAAGGTGGAAACCATTCCTGCTGTTTGAAAAAAGCACCCATGCTGATGCAATGATTCTCTTCTCCCCAAGATTTACCCTTCTATAAGAAGGTTCTGGCATTAAACACACCCTTCCTCTTTACCTTGGTAGCTGATGTGTTTAGTCGAATTATCACTAGGGCTGATAGGGAAGATGTGATAAGGGGTTGGAGAGTAGGCACAAACCGAATTCCAGTCGCTCACCTTCAGTTTGCAGATGACTTGATGACCTTCTGTGAGGGAGGCTTCGGTGAGAAGGTGGAAATTTTGAAAGAATTGATTACAGTTTTTGAAGGAGCCCCTAATTTGAAAATCAATCTAGGAAAAAGCTRCATAGCCGAAGTAAATTTAGTTTTTGAGGAGGTTGACGCGATTGCAAGCTGTCTTGAGTGTTCCATTTCCTCCTGGCCTTTGTCTTACTTAGGGCTTCCGTTGGGAGCAAACCCTAGGGAGAGTATGTTCTGGACCCAGTCTTGAAGAAGTTAGAAAAGAGATTAGCTGCGTGGAAGAAAAATTATATCTCTTTGGGTGGGAGGATCACTTTGATAAAAACTACCCTCATGAATCTACCTACCTATTATTTCTCTGTCTTTAGGATACCGTCTAGGGAAGCGAAGAAGTTGGAAAAATTGATGAGAGATTTTCTGTGGGAACTGGGAGAAGGTAAAAAAGACCATTTAATTAATTGGGGGTTGTGGGTAGAAGCAAAGAGGAAGGAGGATTAGGGCTCGAGAATGTGCTTAAAAAGAACTCAGCTCTATTAGGGAAGTGGCCGTGGAGATGGCCTTTGGAGCGGGATAGACTCTGGCACGAAGTAGTGAAGGGTATTCATGGATGTTCAGAGTGGTTGGGATGCTGGTGCATCAAGGAGGGCTAACCTAGCCACACCTTGGAAAGCAATTCACAAAATTCTTCCGCATTTCCTCAGCTGTGTCAGGTATGATGCTTGTTCAGGTAATTCTATTCGGTTTTGGGAGGACATTTGGGTTGGAGATCTCCCTCTAAAAGACCTTTTTCGTTTGTTGCACTTTGTTTCCTTGTATAGAAAAGAGGTGATCTCAAAATTCCTTCCGTCGAATTTATTTTTACCAGCTTTGTCTTGGGACTTTGGTTTCTATAGAGGGTTAAGGGATGAGGAAATTGAGTGTTTGTCTACTCTTCTGTGTCTCCTTGATAAGGTTTGGATGGATCCCTCGAAACCTGATAAAAGGATTTGGGCCATTCACCCCAATGGGTCTTTTTCTTATGGCTTCTTTTTCAAGTTCCTCTGCCAATCTCCCTCTCAACAAAGTTTTCCTTCCAAAGAAGTCTAGTGTAGGCCAGTCAACCCCAAGGTTATGGCTTTGTGCCGGGAAGTGTGGCATGGTAAAGTAAACACGATGGATAACCTACAAAAGAGAAGACCCGTCCTTTGTATTTCACCAAACTGGTGCATTCTTTGCAGATCTCATGGTGAGGATTGTAATCATCTATTTTTATCTTATAGTG